TCATCTAGTCCCACCCCCCTGCAGTAAGCAGGGACATCTTCCACTAGATCAGGCTGCTCAAAACCCCATCCAGTCTGACCTTGAATGCTTCCAGTGATGGGGCACCCACAGCTGAGATGGATGATAAGTGTGGTAAAAGGGAACTGTTTTTCACAGCTAGAGAGTGTACAGACTTGCATTGCTTTCCTCTCGAAAAAGCTGCTCTTCAGATCATTCTTCTTAAACTATTTTCCTGTATTCTATAATCTTCTCAGTGCCTTACTTCTGAGCTTACCAAAGTCCAGACTGTATGCTTACCTGTGCTTTCAGATGCAGAAATACCTTCTGGCAAAGACTTTGAATGTTTAAAGGACTTTTAACATTAACTCTGGAACAGAGGCTTTACTCTCAACTATTAGATAGGTTTTGTTCCCAGTGTATTTAGCATGATGATATTAAATTGAGTGTGGAAGGTGGGAGTCTGATGTTGGAAAGCAGACCACTGCCAAGGCAAGTATTTGGACAGTGATCATATGTGAGATGTGCATTGGCTTTTGTTCTCCTTGTTCTTTAGAACTGCTACTAAAGAATCACTTGACCGATACTTCTTCATTTTTAAGTAGCGTGCTTTATGCAGACATAATATGTGGAATTATGGTCAAATAATGCAGGCATTCAAACACAATTGCAGACATACTTGTCCATTTCCAGAGGACCAAGAATTCCATCTTTCACTTTGCCACCAAGCAAGTCCTGTATGACTGTTTGCCTTAATGCATGGAGAGTGGTTTGGCTCCTTCCCAGTTGAGGGCCTTCAAGGTCTCACTTGTGGTTGTATTTACAGAGGTGATGTCAAAGAATTTTCAAAAGCCTGAAATTTCCTTGGTAGCCAACTGTGAGAAATAATCATGACAAGTGAAGTAATGCTGTTCTGGGTGCTTTCTTGCTGGCAACCTAATGTGCCTGCCTATGCCTAGAAGATACAGTGGTGGAGCGGAGCTGGTGTGGAAGTACTCTGTATATGCAGTACATTGCAAATCGGTAGTTGAGAGGAAGGAAGCCTGTAAAGAAGAATTTTTCTTTGTGTTCGTTCATGGGTAGATCTGTTATACTCAGATTATTTGCTTTAACTGAGAATTTATTTGCTTTTTAAATGCATTTAGCTTTGAACAGTTTTTTTAGGCTTGCTCTCTCTGCGTGTGTGGATTTACAGCTTTCGCTTTGTGACCTTGCTGGCCCAGCTGTTGTTCATTCTCCAGGTAAGGTGCCCCAGCAAACGTGCAAGCTGTGCAGACCTGGGCTGGTCAGAGAGGTCTGTCCACTGAAGCAGTGTTGAGCGTGTCTGTTTGCAGGGAGAACCTGAGAGGTCTCCTTTCATCCTCATCAGCCTTGGAGCACATGCTGGATGGAGGATAGAGATGCGTAGGGTTTGCTGCAGTATGAGAGCACCAGGTGGGCACGCAAGTCAACAGTGGCCACCTTTCTTACCATGGCAGGGTGTGCTTTCCTAGCTGGCTCTTAGCAAGGCTGCTTGTCAGCCATCTGCATCAGTAGTTTGACCTGATGTGTATTTTGCTGCTTGCTCAAGGAGACTAGTTAAAATTAGGAAGAAAAGTGAACTCAAGAGAGCTTGGCAAAATGATGAATTATGAATGTTGAGTGAAACCCTGCATATTTGACTTTTGGACTCTTGAAGCTCTGCCAAGGTGCCGATGCTTTCAACTTGGCTGCAATTCTCTGAGCTTTATTGTGGATAGAAAACATGTGAGAAGTCTGTGAATGATGAGCTGAAGTTAAACGTAAAAATATGTGAACTCTGAATTTGTTTGTTTCTTTTTAGCTGTAGGCTAAATCTTTTGATGAGCTTAAATTAAATTCTTTAACGATGCCCATTCAGTCAGTCCCTCTGTTGGCAAGATACTTTGTGGGTTACTTGGAATTGTTGGCAGCTGTCTGAAGTTTTTTTTCTTTTCTCATTAAAATTAATGGCAGATCTTCTCTATGTTGAGACAGCTTTGAAGATTTAGTCACTGTTTCTGGTGGCAAGAGTAGTAGTTGTTTCTAAAGCTAGATGTGATATGTTAATAAATGGGATATATTAACTACTGCACTCATATTATGAAACATTTTTGATTTCTTTGGGTTTTCCACTTTGGCTTAATGTTTCTTTACGCTTTTGGCTTATTTTCTTTTGTGAAACTTGTCATGCGCTTTATAGAGAAGTGCAGTGTTCACACCACCAGCTCATTGCAGTTACATTTAGAGAGGGATTTTAAGACAGCAGGCTAATCACAGTGACATATTCATGTAATGGCGGACAAATGTTCAGCTTTGGGGTTTCTTGAAGGCAGCTGTCGTTCCTTTTCCCTCTCGTTTGCTACCAGCCCACGCGGGCAGTGGGCTTGATGCCCATTCACATGTCCGTCTATATGACTTGAAGAACTGTGTTCTTGCATACCTCCTATAGTTCAGGCTGGGTCTAAGTGAGAATGATGTGTTTCCAAAGCAGGAGATGGTAGGAAAATGGAAAGTGTAAGAGAAGGCCCTTTTTATTGCCACTGGAGAGACTGGTAGTAGGTAACAAGTAAATCAGTGCTGGAGTGCGTTCTGGTTGACTATACTTCCCCAGTATGGAATTCCCCACCTGGAATATTGTGTCCAGCTCTGGAGCCCCTAACATAAGAAGGACATGGACCTGTTGGAGCGGGTCCAGAGGAGGGCCATGAAGATGATCAGAGGGCTGGAGCACCTCTCCTATGAAGACAGGCTGAGAGAGTTGGGGTTGTTCAGCCTGGAGAGGAGAAGACTCGAGGGTGACCTTATAGCAGCCTTCCAGTATCTGAAGGGGGCCTATAAGAAGGCTGGAGAGGGCCTTTTTACAAGGGCATGTAGTGATAGGACAAGGGGTAATGGTTTCAAACTGGTAGAAGGGAGATTTAGCTTAGATATCGGGGAAGAAAATTTTTACTATGGGGGTGCTGAGCCACTGGAACAAACTGCCCAGGGAAGTTGTGGATCCCCATCCCTGGAAGTGTTCAAGGCCAGGCTGCATGGGGATTTGAGCAACCTGGTCTAGTGGGAGGTGTTCCTGCCCGCGGCAGGGGGGTTGGAACGAGATGATTTTTAAGGTCCCTTCCAACCCAAACCATTCTATGATTCTGTAGTCTGTAGTTATGTCAAGTAGATTATTGTGGCATAATACACACAAACCACAAAATCTATCACACAAATAAAAGCTGTCTTGCACAGAAAGGAGAAATTATTTTTCTTTAGGGGATTAAAATTTGATCTTAAAAAATACAGAGAACACGTATAATTGTTGAATGAGTCCCTCCAGAGTTTGTGTCTAATCAGATCCTGTAGAATTACAAACACTCTTGGATAATGCTGCTTGTGATTTAATCACAGATCCCAATGGAGGATTATATTTGTTGTCACGGTAGCTAGCAATAACTCTTCCATGAACACTGAAGCAACCAAAGAACATGAAGCCCACAAATCCATTTACCATATGCTGGAAAACACTACACAAGTTTCTTGTGTTTTGGCAGGCTGTTTTCCTATATGCATCAGACTTCTGTACAACATAGAAGTTGCTGTGAGTTGGTATGCTGCAACTTCAACATCAGCATCTTGCATGAGTCTGAACTCCTGGGGCTGGAGCAGTGGTGTTTGGCAGGTACCAGCAGATGCATTTTTAGGCACTGGCAGAAAACAAAACTGAGTAGCACAGTGCCAAACCTCTGACAAGTGCTGGCTGTGGAACTGCAACCTGAATTTTTAACTACAGGTTGATGTTTGTATTAGATGAGCTGTGAAGGTCTTGAGGCAGCAGTTTGAGAGCCTCCAACAAAAGGCACTGCCTATTGCCACTGGTCCAGCCGGGGGTTTTCAAAACCAGTACCCTTCTCATGCATTTCCATGTGCAACTTCTGCTTTTATGTGGTAAGCAGTACGTTATGCTTGGGGGCTGTTTTGTCTGCCACGCTTCCCAGAACAATGCAAAGCATCCTCAGCCAAATAGGTGTCAGAAATAGATTATATCAGTAAGTATTGAAGGGCTATAAGGTCCAGACAGCTGTTTGGTTGCTGTACTGGGTAACGCTCTAAAAGTCTTCATGGAAGTTTTGATAGCAAGTATGCACGGAGATTAGAAAGTTTGACATGCGGGTGTTCTAGATTTGGCTGCTTTCAGATAGTCTCTGCTGGGGAAACAATATTCTGCAGTGCTGGGATGCAGTGTTGGCACTGCTGTCATTGGTGGCTTGTTGGATCGAAGTCTCCACTGGTGTGTCACCAGGAGTGGCCGTGGGTCGCAGCCTGGTTCAGGGGTGAGGAGGCAGAGGTCTTGGGGCAAGGTGCGCTGCTGGGCAGGAGGGGAAGAAAAGGTGGCAGCAAAGCTGAATCAAGAAGGGGTGTAAAAAACCTGTGCTGTGCCAAGAGCTGGAGAGCGTTAATAAACAGCAGGACTGATGCTGTCTGTAACAACCATGGGCTTTCCCTGGTGTAAATGAGGCTTTGTCGTGCTAGTCTTAAATAGTTCCAACAAGTGATGGGTGTAAATGAATGTCTTGTTTGTAGAATGAGTCTCTTTTATTTGATTGTTTTTTGTCAGCAGCAGAGACTGTAATTCATGGGATGACAAGAGATGCGTGTGGTTAATAGCTTGCGTAGGATTTTAATTTTTTTGTCTGAAAAATAATGTGGAGGCAAATATAAACTCGGGAATCTTTTTGCGAAATATCTACAACTAAACATGGAGGGAAAAATTTTTCGAGGTGGACTTCAAGGAATTTCAATTCTCTACTCAAGATAAAATAAGCATCCAGCCGTCTTCTGTGGTATTGTTTACTGCATTCATAGTTAGTGATGGTTTTTAAGTTTCTGTAGAGATGAAGTTCAGTCTGACATACCTTTTTCTTTCCTCAACTCCCTTGATGCTTAAAATTATGTGCCAATGTGTTTGTGTGTGAACAAAATCTTACCATTTAATTGTTTTCGGTTTTATTATTTACAAGGTGGAATATATGTTAGTAAAATTTGACCATGAGAATAAGAAAGTGCGCTTGGTGCTCTGTGGTGAAGAAGTTCTTCAAACACTTCAAGACAAGGGGGAGAAGGTAAACCCCAAGTGAGTAGCTGTTTCCTGTTTCTTTTTTTTCCTTTTCTGTTATGATACCTTGCAGAATTTTGTAGACATGGCTTAACTTTCGAGTCTGCTGTTGGTAAAACCATAAGCCACAGATACTGATATTTTCAGATAAAGTTGGGGTGCAGGAAGTGGAAGATTTTGAGCACACTTGTAGGTAGTCTGTGCACCCTTTGTGTTATGACTTGGGGGGGGGGCGGTGGGGAAAGGAGGATGTGACAGTGAGCCCACAGAAGTTGCAGTTTGGGTATTTGTTTTGTCTTGCTCTGGTTTTGTGTCTGTGTGTACACAGTAATCACATACTACACCTCCACTGTGCCATGAAGCATGTTTGTGTGTGCACTTGCCCCTGTATCCCTGAGGACAGGAGCAAGTGAGGGCTATATAGGGAAGCCTGTTGTCTGTAGGAGCGTTCTCCCATTTTTCGCAGAATTAGGAAGGTAGGTGTAAGGACGGCAGGGCAGTTCTTCCCCATCCTCTCCCATGAAGTTTTCAAGAATAACTGCATCATATCCCTACTTCAACTAGCCAGAGAAGTGTGAATTGCCTTTTAATTGATGGCAGAAGAGAAATGGGACCAGAGGACAGCAAAATGCTTTCACTGAAGAGCTGAATGCAGGTCACAGCATACAGGAAGGTGGAGGAACTCTGCTGTTGTAATAAAAGGCTTTTGTGCCCTGGGCCTGTCTGCTTCTTTCAAGGTACCTTAACCTCATCTTCCAGTAAGGCTTCCCTGTCTGTCTTCCTTGGCAGAGGGACTATTGAAAGCCTGCAAGAAGGAATCCTTCTGCTTTTAGGCTCAAAACTACTACTTCCAGAGCAGTAGAGGAGATGTGGCTCTGCCTCTGGTAGAGTGTGCTCCATAGAGACGGCACAGTTTCACAAGGGCCTTTTCAGGGGTGACTAAGTGCATTCAAACTTCATTTCATCTCTTAACCTAATAAATTTGTGAAACAGGACCGGGTATTCACAGGCAGTAGAAGGAAGAAATGGAGCATAACTTTTGCCTTGCCTTGTACTGTGGAAGAGGAAGAGGTTGAATGTTCTGTATTTTCCAGTTTCAGTTAAAGCCCCAAAAAACCAAGGCATGAGGGAGATACTAAAGGTGATTGCAGTTTGACATAGGCAAATCATACTTACTGCACTTCACAGCAACACTTCCTACTGACAAACTGTGCCTTAATTTCTTTTTGCTGTCTCCCAGCAGTGAGGTACATTGGAACGTTAGTTGTGTTACTCTGAAGCTGATTATTCGATATGAGATTTTTCTTGCAGGTTGCATTAATTTCTGAAATTCTCACAAATAAGCTATTTCTTTTGAAGTTGTATAAATATCTAAACAAGGCTATTCTTTTATTATAGCCACCCAACACTCTGGCGACCAGAATATGGAAGCTATATGATTGAAGGGACGCCTGGGCAGCCATACGGGGGAACCATGTCTGAATTCAACACTGTGCAAGACAACATGAGGAAAAGACGGCAAGAGGCCGCTTCTGTGCTCAAAGAAAATGAGGCTGTTTGCACTGTGACATCATTTCCAAGGTGAGATGATTGTTGAAATGTAATGCTGTGTTTCCTACTCTCCGTGTATGCTTTTTTCTCCTTATTGCATATAGGTAAGCCGTACAATGAAACTGAGCAAAATATGATCCAATCAAAGTACTTTGACTTAACATTCCAGTTGTTTCCTAAAATTTTTATTGCAGTGAGACAAACAAATAAGCTTCTTTTATGTTTTTAGGTTACTTCTAAGCTGTGGTGATTTTGTATTGGGAGAGAGTACCTGCATATTCAGAACATAAAGTATTGTATGTAGAGTAGTTTGCTATCTTGAACTGATAGGGCAAATCTTATAGAAAAGGTTTCTCTTTACCTGTTTTGCAAGCTTTGATCTTTATAAACAGCAGTTTTGTAAAACATGGCTAACCTGTTCTATTTAACGCTACTTTTTCCACTAAAGCACATGCAAAATTCTTTTGGTGGCTTGGAGCACACAGTAGAACAGGAATGTGATTATCCTTACAAAATGAAGACTTAAAACTTCTGTAATACTGTACTTATTGAATCTAGAAAGGAGCGCACCTCCTCTCCTGGATTCGTAACACCCTTACAAAGGGTAGACTTCCTCCTTTTTATTGTTGTAAAGAGACTCTTAAAGAAACGAAATTCAGGATGTACTTCATTACCTAGGAGAAACTGTACTTTTTGACCTTCCTTTCAAACACAATTTGAGGCAGGGATTTATTACATTCATTCTAACTAGCCTGGTCAGTCAAATGAATGAAGATAGTTATGCTTAAAATAGTAAACAAAAAAATTAAAAAAAATTGCTGTGCAGTAGAGGAGAAGCAGCTGGCTTTACTGGCTGGTTTCTTGTGTAGTACAGAATGCAATGGCCCTAAGTTCTTGCTGAGAGCAGGAATAGTACAAAATGTGACTTGGCCATGAAATTTAGGTACCAAAATGCCTGTGTTACGCCCCATGAATGCTATTTTAAGAACACTTTGACAAAATATGCTTCCTCTTTATGGAAGCTATGCTAGGTATCTTTAATGTATTAAGAGCTTATTTAAAGTCCAGTGGTTGAGTAGTTCTCAGTGTTACAGAATTGAGGGGGTTTTGCCCTACAACCTTACAAATAGATTGTCATTTAATGAATTTTTCACTCTTGCAAATAATAAAGGGAGAGTTCTTCATCGCTTTGTAGATACAGATAAATACTTCTTACATCACCGTAGGAACAATACATTGGACTTCAGTGAAAGCCAGTAAATAATAAAAAATGTAGCTTGTTTATTGCTTATGGGTCATCCCAAACATAGTTTTATCCTTCAGAGATTGCTCTCCCTAGCCTATTTAGTTTCTTGTTTCTGCCTTTTGTTATCTTGCCATTCAAGTCCCTGTTGGTTTCACTGGAGCCTTGCTTGAAATGTGTATTTCTGATGTTTTGTGGCTTTGGGGTTTTTTATTACATTCTATCTACAATAACGTATGTAGTCTCTGTGCATATACATGTGCATATAATAAAAAAAAAATCTGTGCATCTGAAAAGGCAAAAAACCCCCCTTGTTAGAGTGCTGACAGAAGAAAAGTAAAGAAGGCTTATTCAAATTAAAATAATGCAGTTAAAAATGAACAAACCTGAAAATGCTTAAATATTAAAAAATACTACCTTAGAAGCTAAATGAATAACCCTAGTTCTTAAATTTGTGAGCCCTTGCTACTGGACCAGAAAGCTGTTTTCTTTCTTGAGGACTGGAGTGGTGCTGTTTACAATGTTGCACTTATGTAAATGATGAATTTGGGTTTAGATATTGTAGGAGAACTTGTATACTTAAACCAGGAAGAAGAAACCAATAGTGAAATAGATGTTGAACACAAATAATATTTCCAGAAATGTGAGTGTTTCCTGGTATTTTGAGTAGTTTGCTTGTAGTTCTGTCAGCTAACCCTTTTTTTTACACCCAAATACTAGAGCCTCTTGAGATAACACAATCTTTGTGTTTTATACTGTGCTGCATGGAGAAATTAATGTTCTGCAACTTTACCTCCAACTTCTCAAATGCTTTTTTGCCTCAGTTGTACTGAAAACTTACTTATTCTTGTTTCAGATGACTATTAAACTTACAATGGAGGTTCCAAAGGAGAGGCTTGTATTCTGATTTACTTGTGTATCTGTCAGCATTTTACACCTAATAGTGTAATTTTTCTTTGCTTACTACATTTCTCTTATTTATGGGGTTTTTCAGAGATCCAAAATAGCAAACTGCTGTGAGACTTGAGATGTGTGTATCACTTGAAACTACCTCTAATTCTTACAGAGTTCGTTAGGTATGTCTTTTTAACAGTGGTAGATGGTTGGGAGCAGTGCTAGATAAATTACTTCAGCAATCAGCATTGACCTATACCCTCTAGAGAAACTGTTTAAGGGCCAGAATGCAGCTGCGTGTCAGTATTAATGACAGGTGCTAACGCACTAAAATGGGTGTATACTCTGCATAATTCTGTGAAGTTTCCTGCTTCCACCACTGAAGGTCCATGTTTACTGTCCAATGATAGAGTAGAGGGTTTTTTAATAAAAAGTCTGTTTAACCACCACAGAAGCTGGTTGTTGGTCAGCACTGACCTTTTAACGGCAACTATTTTAAGACCTCTTTCTGGCAATTCTACGTGCATAGGTAGCAGTCTTGAAAAGCGCTTCAGAAATACTTACAGTAGATGCAAGCTTTAAAAAAAAAAAAAAAAAATCTCTTTTCATTCCTTTGTCTGCTAGAATCCTAATCTCAATCATCTGACCATTTTAAAATCACAGTCTGTTTTCATTATTGTTCATTATCTTGTTGTGTTACATAGGTTAGGGTGTCCTGGGTTTACGCTGCCAGAATATAAGCCAACACCAGTAGAAGGAGGAGCTTCAAAATCCCTCTTTTTTCCAGATGAAGCCATCAACAAACATCCCAGATTTAGGTAAGAGTATTTTGAGAGTGTAAATGAGAAGCTGAGTATTTTTCTGTGCTTAAATCTCCTGGGCATACATTTCTTTACCTTGTTGGAATAGAGAGCTATATGTCTAGTTGCTGCAGATACCACAAGGACTTGGGCAGAGATGGTTGTGATGACATGGTTGTGATGACGTGTATTTTCTGTCAAAGTGACTTAAGAAAGTAAACTGTTAAGTTCAAGTAACTTTATATAGTTCACGCCATTATGGGGCAATAGGTGTTGATTATGCTACTGCAAAATTGTTTGAAATCCCGTGGCTAACCACTTCTATCACAGTTAATCCAGCTCTTGCTCAGGTATGTCACAGCAACAGCTCAGTGTACTCAGTAACTTGCCCTAGTTACTCTTCATGGAGTGCGGTGTCAAACTACTTGTGTAGTCTGAGGGGGATTTTCATTGTGAGATGAGGCTTAGGAGAATGAAAATCATTCTATTTAAAAACTAAGCATGCCTTTTCACTTACCATTCTATTCTTCAGGTCAGTAGCTTTCTACTTCTGCCTGAAAAATTTGGTATTGTGTCTGTTATAGTCTATCTTAAACTGGGAAAAGAAGCATCCTGAAGGAAAATGCTCAAAATAAATAGAAAGTTGATATTCTGAAACCCTGAGAACTGCTGAGAAACTAACTGCAAAAACATTTGCATAAAGAGAAACTGTCAGGTATTTCAGCAAACCTTTTTTGTTGTTTTTGTAGTACGCTGACCAGAAACATTCGGCACCGAAGAGGAGAAAAGGTTGTGATAAATGTACCAAGTAAGTAAATTCAGTCTATCTTCTTTCTTTTTCAAAATAGTTGTTGAATCTAATGCTCTGGGTTATTGAGTGCCTGCATTTTCCACACAGTATTTAAAGATAAGAACACGCCATCACCGTTTATTGAAACATTTCCTAATGATGATGGAGAAGCAGCAAAAGCGGCAAAGCCAGACTATATATACATGGATGCTATGGGTTTTGGAATGGGAAACTGCTGTCTTCAGGTAAAATGCGTCTGCTTTCAAGATGGCATTGAATGTTGTCTTCCCTAAACGCTTCCCTTCTTAAGATTTGCCTTATGTCTAGTTTCTCTAGCTTAATTCATGTACCGTGAACCTACCCAATCCACATGGGTAGCTGTCTTCTGTTACTGTGTGCTGGGGGACATTGTTGGTTCTCTTTTTTCCCATTAATGCAAGCTCACTTTTTATTGTTTTCATTCATTTCCCTGAGTAACTACTGTTTTACAGTATCCTCCGTTTTATATCCACGTCCCAGGTATCTTGGGAGTGCTTTAATTCTTTCAATATCTGTTTGTTTTAAATGTTTCTCTGTCACAGTAACCTGCTGCTAGGGGTTGATGGTTTAGGTAGTAGCAATGTATTTGACTGTTGATGAAATCTGCCTGTTACCACCGCTGTCTTGGAAGCAGAGCTAGGAAGAGGCTAGTGTTAAGTTTCTAGGGGATTAAAGGAAATTCTCCAAGGTCGTCTTATTTCACAGCACGGGTAGAAATAATCCCATTCAAAGCATTTCCCTTTGAGACTGAGAAATTACAAAAGCTGAATAAATGAAATGTTCTTGACAGCAGCTAAGTATTATTTCTTGTCACTGAGAGTAAACTAGGGAGAATCTGATGAAGTAGTAAAGTGTACATAATACTGCATGTTTTTACAGGGTGTAAAGTTTGATATGGTCTATTTTGTACTATCTCTTTCTTACTTAACACCAATAAAAGAAATACAGCCTTACTGTTCAGCCCTTGTATGAACTTGTTTAAAAATACATTAAATTTCTTTTTATGGAATACCGTTTTATTCTTCCCCATTCTTGAAATCAGTGCTCAAATTCGGTAGTTTTGTTATCATTAAAGGGAGAATGAAAACAAGGCTGGCAGGTGCTATAAACAACTGCTTGTGTATCAACTGATAATTCTTGATAACCGACTAGAAGAAAACATATATTCCCTACCTATTTTCTGTAAGGTAGTTTGCAGTATCTGTGCTTCCTTCTGTTTTTTCCTCACTATGCAGCAAGCTACCACTTGGTTTGCTGTATTTCCAAGGTTAAAAGCAATGCCCTGATGAGCTCGGCTGGGACAGCCCGCAGTGACGGTGGGGTGGGAGGCGCTGCGCCTGCGAACTGCATGGCAAACCATTGCACTCCTGCCCCTTTTGAGGCTTCACATCCCTATGCCTGCTGAGCCTTGAGCTCATGGCTGCTGCTTTCTGCAGTCCTTCCAGTGCCAGCAGCCCTCCTCTGGAGAAGGCTGCTGTGCCCTTTTCCTCTGTAATGGGATATTTGGCTAGAAACCAGGTGGAATCCCAAATTTAATGTGATTTGGAATAAACATAAAAGGGAAAGGGAAGTGGATATCACTGAATCAGGGGAAAAAGTATACATGTCTTGTCCCACTAAACCCCAAGACAGGTTCCCTCGTGCTGGAAGTCCAAAATTAGTGATGAGAAATCATACTTAGCTGCTTCTCTGCAAGAGAGGTAAATAGTCCTGTCTTTTCAAAGTGCATTTTTCTATCTGATAGCCACTTGAAGGACAGACGCAGAAGAAACACTTTCTTTACCAGACACCCTTCTTCTAATTTGGGATGTTTTAATGAATGTCAGCTGCAAAACACACACAAATCCAATGTTCCCTCAAGTC